ATCATGATTTTTCCATCTTTTTGGTTCTTCCGTGTCTGCGATTTTAAGTTATTTTAGAAGGAATATGTTTTCAATTTGAAATTAAATTANTATTTTAAAAGGAATATGTTTTCAATTTGAAATTAAATTAATTGTAAGAAATGTACGTTTACATACCTTTAGCTTTAGCTGAGTTTACAGAGGTGCTCGCTGTTATTTATTAGATTGCAGACGGTCCCAGGATGTTGAAATGTTAACACAAATTTTAGTTTTGTATTACCAAGCTATGAAAAAGCATCTTCGAAGCACAGAACAGAAGCGTATTTAAACGAAAAAGCCGCCGAACACATATCTATGTAAAGTAAACAAGCCCCCGCTGCATCCCTTATTCGATAGTTCCGAACTACTTCTAAATTCGACATATAAGATCTAGTTCGCTCTTTTTTTATAGTTCCGAACCATTTCTAAATTCGTCACTTTAGATATAGATTTCAAAAAACTGAAAAAAATAAGTTTTTTAAGTACCACTTTTCGCCGATTTTGGACTGGTGCGGATCTAGTTTCTATCGGACTAGTTCCTTTTTGGCGATAAAGTCCTAGTACGGAACTAGAAATTTGATTCACTAGTCCGCGATTTCCCTGCAGGGTATATACATGTACACAAACATATGTACATACGTACAAATATCCCAGTCGAAATCGGTTATATACATTCTTGAAGAATGCTTGCTATATGAGTGAATTAGTGTGAACAATTCATGCNTAGAAATCGGTTGTATGCATTCTTGAAGAATGCTTGCTATATGAGTGAATTAGTGTGAACAATTCATGCGTAGTCATGAATTTCCACGAATAAATTCAAATTCTAGCGAATTGCACGTTGTCGTTGTTTTAAGTACATTTCTTGATAAATTTGAAGTGGAATTTTTGTAATATGTTCAGTCTTGTGCAAAAATTTTAGTGAACGGACGTGTTCACAAACGGGTATTTTCAAGATATGCATTTGCATATGTAAATGCTACTTGTTTGTATGTCCCCGTATATTAAAATGTATCAGAAAAGTAGCATTTACATATGGGGATACGTATCTTCTAAGAATGCTTTAATACTGTTCCATTAATGCATTTTTGTATGTTTGAAACATTAATACAGCCATATGCATACAGCAGTAGTAAAAGTGTGTGATTAAGGTACGCATACGCTCTGAGAAACCACGCGTGTTAAATGGAAATGAAGGTTCATTTATACTGGCATGTATACACAGCAGCAAGCTCATGCTACCAACAGCGATGTCGTATGCATAAAATTTCTACTGGGATATATACAACCATTCAAACATATGAAAACATTGCTGTCCATAAGTACATACATATGCCCATCAGTACATCAATGAAGCCCGTTTGCTTCATCATAAATATATCCATACAAACATATGTACATATGTACGAATGGATGTAGTTACGCGAAGCACGCTTGCATCGTTTATATATTGCTTGGTAGCGGCAGAGCTGAAATGCGCAATGAGTTCGTTCATACATTAATATATATGTATACTAGGGCGGGTCGATTTGTAGGGGCCCAAAAAAATTAACATGGGCACATCACGATTATGATTATTTGGGTGATTTCAAGCATTTTTGCCCAAGAAACCATAGGTCTAAAATGAATTTCGAGCCAGCGATTTTTTCTATTCGGCGAATTCAGCGTACATGCATAATTGGTTAGGTATGTATGTATTTATATGTATGTATGCAGATATTTAAATGCCGGTTTGCTATTCGCGCGACAAGCTTTTTTAAAAACGAAGTAAATTAGTACAAATTGTTAGTAATTTTCATTAGAGTTTGAATAACTCCTTTCACTAAATGGCTTTTAGTAACTTTAACGAGACCTTAACTTATTTTATTTTATTCATTTTAGTGCAGTTTTGACAAAATTTTCTTGCTAAAAAATCTTTTGTTTCACTACTTTATTTTATTCCTTTGATTAAACATGTTAAATAAAAGCTTATTTTTAAAAAAATATTTTTTTTACATTACTTTATTTATAAATTGTTTTTGCTTTGCTAGCCGGCAATTACAAGTACCTGATGAAGATCTTGCAGAAGCAATGAGCTTATAGGCCTTTCGCACGAGGCGATTTTTCAGGCAACTTTTAGTTGAAAGTAAAAATCGCCTCGTTCGAACGGCCTTTCAACTAATCGCTTTCAACAAAGTTGGTCGCCAGCCAACTTTGAGCTCGTTCAACTTTTTTTCCGTGCAACCCTGTGTTTGTTTACATTCTGTATACATACCACCATTTTGAAATTGTATTCTGGCGTGGCTTGTTTTATTAAATTTGGGAAAAATATATTTAAAATGAATAAAATTAATGTGATTTCGTTTTTGGAGGTGTACGAGAAGCACCCATGTTTGTGGGATCCGCGAAATAAATTGTATAAAAACCATTCATTTCGAACATCAGCTCTGAATGCCATAAAGCAGGAGTTGTCTCTAACCCTGTCTACGGAGGAGCTAAAAGGGAAAATTAAGAGCTTGCGTACAATGTATACAAGGGAAGCAGCTAAAGTGGCATCGTCCAGAAAGAGTGGGGCTGGTACGGACGATTTGTATGTCCCAAGGTTGTCATGGTTCGAGGTGGCGGACCGATTTTTGAAGCCAGTAGCAGAAGGAAGGCCCTCAAAAACTAATATGGTAAGTATTTTTAAATATCTTTCAATATATGGGCAGTTCCGGTACGGGCGTTGCATGTCATAAATAGCCATTCATTTTCAGTCAGTAATTAATTAATAAATTCAACGAGTTCTTCCCAAATACAGTGTGGATGGTTGACGGGTACTGCTTAGCTATTTGCCTAATGATTTCGGGCTATTGTTTCCGAATGGTTGATCCGATCCAAAAAAATTCTACACGCACTTGTAGTCAAGGGTCCAAACTTCATTTTGAAACTTAACTTTATAATTTTCAGTCAGTAATTAATTAATAAATTCAACGACTTCTACGCAAATACACTGTGGTCGCCATAGCCGCAGTTATATGCGCAAGAAATGTGGAATACCTTTGAGAATGGAAGAGGTCCAGTGGATAAAAGACACCTTTACTTAAATAACTCAACACCCTGCTTGGATTTTTTATTAAAACTAGTATCGCCCAGTGGGATTAAAAAACATAGTAGGGCTGTCCAGGATGTTGTGGAAATGCATGAATCAAAATATAAATCAATGCTGAGTTGAAACTCGGCACAATTTTTCTTTAAAAGCTCCACATGTAAATGTGTTGTAATCTTTGGTGGCGGTGCAGGGTTCTCATGTCAAATGTCAAAACGAAGTTACTATAAATAAAACCTTGATGCAATAATGAAAGGTGTTATAGGTTGGTTTTGCATTTATTAGGCCATTTCCTTACTGTTTCCTGGCCGACCTGTGCTGGTATTGTGATTAAGAGCTAATACACGTAAGCTAAAACATATTATTTTGACTTTATTCATGAACCATTCCATTTGCAGCATCCTCTGGGGAACTGCAGCTGCAGCCGAATTTGATTGTGTGCACCATCGTGCAGATGAGTAAGTTGCAACCAGCTCTTTGTTGTTTCAAAACCTAATGAACCATTTGTTCGCAGATTTTTCCTGTTGCGCCTTTGTGCGCGTTGGAGTAAGTTGCAAACCATTGGAGACGGTTAAGGTGTGTCGGACAGGGGCCAAAGTTAAGATTCCTCTATGGAGACTCAAAAAATTAATATTATTGTTTTCATCTAGTACCTAAAATCGCTACTACTATAGCGACTCCAATCGGGACCAAAATTTATATGTGCTACCAAATGTGAATGTACATACATATCACATATATTAACATAGATACAGTGAACCAAAAAAAAAGTTGTACATTGAACGTATTTATCTCGAATGACTACGCTTAGCTCTGAAACTGTAACAAACCAAAGAATCACCATTTTTCGAAAGCAAACAAAAAATTTTCCACTAAGTTCAAAATGATTAACTGGTTAAAAAGTTAACTATTTAATACAAATTAGTATTAAGTTCAGCAACCCTCGGTATCTGGCATGTCTCCAAGCCTTCTATTCAGAGAGTTTGTTGTATTTTAGAGCATACACAACGTAAGGTAAGCGTATTTATTTGAGATAAGTCTTTATTGTTGGCATGAAACCGAAGTATCTGTGTTTTAATTATTTTTAGTTTTATCTAAATAGCTTAACTAATGACAGAGATATTCAACTTTGAAGATGAGTACCTTCAATGTACAACTTTTTATTAAACATAATATTTTTATCTAACGCTGTAATATTTGTTTTCAATTTCTATTAGATATATTGTGAGCTATTTGACAGATTTTGTATAAATCTGAACTCGAAATGAAAATGAGTTAGGGCCTTTCTATATTAAGGTAACGATATACATATACTGCAGGTCACTTGATTAGAGCATCAGTATTCATAGTTTTCTTTTTGTTCGTTTAAAAGTAATTAATTTTTTTGTAAAAATAAAGCCTAGTCTAACAAAAACCATGTAAATACGTAAACTTTGTACAACAGCAGAGTTTCTAATTTGCAGTGGCAAATAAAACTTCAGCGATGCCAACAGCAGTTCCTGCTTTTTGTTTTGATGAAATTACGTTATTTAATGAAAACCTAATAATTAAAGCAAAATCAATGCCTGACTTCAGATACATATTTCGATACGCTCTTGGATTTGCATATTCTTTGCATTTGTAAAATCACAACAATAAAATGCACACGCTTTGCATGGCAGTAAGCAAAAAATTTGCAAATGCAATTCCAACTGCAAATCGAAGTCC